ATTTGGTTTTATTTCATTTTTTTCATTTCACATATTAGTTTCATTTCTACATTTGCTTGTTTATTCAGATATCCAGAATTGATGGGTTGTTTCATCTACTTCTGTCTGTTTTCTTATTTTATCGATTTTCACCTTGTCTATATTCGTCAATTTTATCTTGCTCGGATTCAGAAGAGGAAGAAGACGAATAACAATGATAATGATGATGATGGTGATGGTGATGATGATGATGACGATTATGATGATAATGATGATGATAATTCTGCAACAACTACAACTACTACTACTAATGAAAATAATGAAATCATAATAACAACAATACCACCAACAATGCCAGCAAAAATAAGAAAAAAATCACCAACACGAAAAAAATTATCATTCAATTAAAAAAACTGACTAAGACGGTGTTCCTGTCTCCAGTCTCATGCACCTTTTGTTCCCGATTTTCCTTCACTGCAGCGGGGATTCCCAACTACCTGTTCTCTCTTATTCTTTCTGCCGAAGCGACGGTGCCATTTTGAGTCGATCAGAAGCCAGGCAAGAAGTTATAAAGTCAAAAGTGATTATGCGTGGATGCGTGAGGGGGTATGCCTATTATTATGATGCTTATTATATATTTACATGTGTAAATATAATAACGTTCATATATAAATATGCTCGCATGCTATATATATATATATATATATATATATATATATATATATATATATATATATATATATACATATATACACACACACACACACACACACACACACACACACACATATATATATATATATATATATACACATATATATATATATATATATATATACATATAGACTATATGTGAGTGTGTGTGTGTGTGTGTGTGTGTGTGTGTGTGTGTGTGTGTGTGTGTGTGTGTGTGTGTGCGTGCGCGTGAGTGAGTGAATGAGTGTGTGTGTGTGTGTGTGTGCGTGTGTGTGTGTGTGTGTGTGTGAGAGAGAGAGAGTGAGTGTGTGTGTGAGTGTGAGTGTGTGAGTGCGTGTGCGTCTGTATTCCTACCAAAATAATTTTTCCGAAAAAAAGTTCATTAGGGTCATCTCAAATCCGATTGTGATTAATTACCTCTAGGCATCACTATTTTAACTGAGTTCTCTTCCCATGCGCATTCGGGAGCGAGCCATCTTTCCATTCGAGACGTGTTGTCTTCTTTATCACTAGTGCATTTGCTGTTATTATAGAAACGTAGTTAAACCGTCTATCTCTGTCGACAGCGGTCTAAGTCCCCTAAAGCCCAGGACGAGGTCTCTTAGCCAAACAGTATTTCTACCGCCGTATTTAGTCTGTTAAAGCCGTGGTGATTTCAGAGTATCCGAACTGTATCTAAGGCCGGGATCAGTCCGTTAAAGCTTATTGTCAGCGAAAGACGATACTGTGTAATATCAAGGTTTATTGATTAATCCCATTTTAGTGTCTTATTTTCTTCACTTTCCTGAGAGTATTTGTGTATTTTACAAAGTACACATAGAAATAGTATTTACTGCATGAGAAAGATATAAAAGTAAACCAGAAACTAGATTATTTTCAGGGGAGACTATGATATGACTGCATTTCAGTATGAGCCTACGATATAATTAACGAATAATGCTCTTATATCCCGGATTTTATTTATTTATTTACTTATTTTTTAATACAGACAATTAGAATTAAGTCTACTTTTCTTTGAATAATTAGTTTGAAAATTGCTTTCTTATATATCGAATTAAAGGAAGAACTTGTATTTATATACAACCGAAATCGATGTATTTGAATAGTTGTATCTATCTATCATAAGGTATTATTTGGTGCCTAATATAATAACAATATAAGCTATTTACATCATAATGACTGATTTGACTGCATTCTCTAAAAGGAAACTGCACTTGAGTTATTACGACCATATATGTGCAAATTATATCTACTTAGACGGAAAGCCTTATTAATTCAAAATTATTACTACAATGGTTATAGTGCCGTATCTTTTCTTGGATTTGATAACTTTCGTTGTAATTATAGTTATTGTTTAATTATCATTGTTTATTGTTGTTATTAGCACAAACATCATTATCGTTATTAAGCATCGCCGTTACTATAACTATCATCATTATTATCATTTCTAATATTATTATTATATAAATCGCTTTTGGTGATGATGATGGGTATGGTGATTTTTATTGTTATCGTTATAATAATAATAATAATAATAAAAATGATAATAATAATAATTATTATTATTTTCATTATTATTGTTTTACTATTACTATTATTATTATTATAGCAATTATTGTTACCATTGTTATTATTACCACTATGATTATCGATATTATTATTGATATAATTTTAACTATTATTATTATTGCTATCATCAACTTTATTATTATTATTATTATTATTATCATTATCATTATTATCATTATCACAATTATCACTATTATCATTTTCATTATTATCATTATTAATATTAATCATTATCATTATCACTATCATTATTGCTATCACTTAACCGTTACAGCTGTTATCCAAAAGACATATTCATTTATTTTCCTTTTTATGGGGAAGTCCAGGTTCAACTCCAATAACTGTAACATTTTTGAGAACAGGCAATGAAGCAATAAATAAGATACATTTGCATATTTACGTCAGTCAAAGCAAACTCCCAACCACCCATTTTACAGTTTATTGTACACGCGCTTCATTCGAGTAAAATCATCCATCCATACATATGATAATAATTATAATACTACGATAATGATATCAATATTATCATCATTATTATTGTTGTTGTTGTTATTATCATCATCTTCAGCAACAGCGACAGCAAAAGGATGAAAAAAAAGCGAATACTTGGATTAAAGCGGTGACGAAAAGTGATCATTGTCCAAGGGAAAAGTCCGGGGAAAATTCGGCCTTGGCTACGGCTTCAACACAGGGCGGCCTAAATGTTTTTTTTTTCTCTCTCACTCTTTTTCTTTCACATTATTGTTCTTATTTATTTAAGAATTATCCTCTTATTGCAGTTGTTTGATGATTTTGGATTAATTTACCGGTAATTCTTATAAGGAATCGTGTTTTTGATTGTTGAATTGATCTAGGTCTGCATATGTAATAACTAAAGACACTATCATCATAAATATAATGGGCGCAAAGCTACCTCTCTGTCTCTCAGTCTCTCTGTCTCTTTCTCTCTCTCTCTCACCTATTTCTTCATCCCGTCTAGAAATAACAATTGCAATAACTGTAGTTTCATTGACAAAGGTGACAAAAAATGATCAAGGAGAATAGGTAACGTTGGTCCCACGACTAGACGGGCAGTCGTGCGCACGAAACTACATCGGTAAGTAGTCTTTAGCTGATAACACGACCACTTGAATCTAGTAAGAGAGAGGCAAAAATAATCCTCCTTAATTGAAAGAAAAAAAAAAAATGGGAAAGACAAAAAGTTGCTATTCCGTTAATTGTACTTTCTGAAGGGCAGTCGAAGTTAAATCGTATCGTATGCGTTGTTAGCTATTAAAGATGTCAAATGTGTTATTAAAGACGGAAGTTAAGCAGATTGGTGATTGTAGAACAAGGAATTTTTGAATACAGAAATCAGACTTTGTTAAAGTAGTTATTTTATAACCAGGTTTTGAAATCCGTGTTGTCAACTGTATGCCCATAATTCATAAAGAGACTATCTGGAATCAGACACAGATATTTTGTTACCAAATAGATATCTGACTAATTGAATAAACTGACCAAACGCCTATTACTTTTTTTTATTTAGACAAACGTAAGTTATACTTCAAAGAAATAGGGTGACCATGGCAGGTACCACAAACCTGCTAATTGATAGAATGCATAACCATTTTTTTTCTTCTTTTTTAAATGAACAAGGCCCGCTAAAAAATATGACAGAAAAACAACCTTGATGAGTGGTTATTGCTGCTGGTTACAATACGGTACGAAACCCTTAAGTCATTCTCATATACAACTTAAACATCGATTCTTGGCCTTTGAACTTAAACTATGAGGCACTTTGAACTTTACGCTCTGGTATGGATGACGTATGACCTTCTATGGCAACATTACGTTAGTTTAGCTGGAGATCTGGGAGCCAGTCTAATATATGGTATTTCGAAGAGGATCTAGGTCAAACATGTAAGATAGGTACTTACTAAGATTGACGACTACAGGGCAGTGATTTTTTTGCACTGTGTAATACAGAAGCACTGACTAACCCCTTTATCCCCTCTGTCTCTCTTCTCTCTTTCTCCTCTCTCTCTCTCTCTCTCCCTCTCTCTCTCTTTCCCCTATTGCAGGTCTCGAAGACATAGATCGCCAACGCCAGACTCTGAAACGGCACTTCAAGGTGTCGAGGGCGAATACTGAGAGCTTTTGTACGAATGGTCACTGGAAAGATATTTGAGACAATGGAATTCTCTGTATAAATTAAGTTACGTGCATTCAGCTCAAAGAGTAGGATCATTATCAGTCATTGTCAGTATTGATTCTTAAGCTGTTATTCTTACCGAGCATATATTGCATATGAAACGGATACATACCATACAGTTTTGGTATTCAGAAAGACAGAAAAAAATGATTTCTAGGAAGTGTATGCGGATGTTATATATATATTTTTTTTTTTTTTTTTTTTTTTACTAATCCTTTCCAGCTATGAAAAATTCCCATGTAAAGACTCGTAGTTGTTTGAATACTCCGACTCACCGACAAGTATTTTAGTCAGTTACGCACGTGCTCGCCACGCGAACACACACCAAAAAACTGGTCCTTCTGCATATCATACCTCCGTTCGACGTCCGTCCGCTGTCGGATATACCATTTACGTCTTATACATCCATTTCTACTTGCTTGCGCGATCTATATCCGCTTTGTGTCTCTTTATATGCACTTACGACGTCTGTATCCCATATATATCTAATCTCTACACCCTAACGTTCTTTAGGACTCTCCTATTCCGTATTCTAAAACATGTCCTTTTTTCTGCTCTTCAGGGAAGCCTACTTTCCTCTGGGGTTTCTCCGTAAGGACGAAGACGGACCAAGGAAGGCTGTTAATTAATTATACTTCCTGAAGGGCAGTCGAAGTTAGTTAATGCATTGCATTCTTTGTTAGCTATTAAAGATGCTAATGTGTTGTTCAAGTTTAGCGAGGTGTGTTCAACCGCACAGACGCAGATGCTCGAGCCATCACCCAGTCACACTTTTTCGACGGATCAAAAAGTGGAAATGAGCAGCGAGAAGACACGTATAAAAGTCGGGGTCTTCGCCGGCGAGGGAAACACTTGCACTTCACCCGCCGAAGATTGATCCAGTCGATTCCCCAGGAAACTAAGAGGTAAACAAGGGAACAGGATTAAGTCGATTCTTTACCCGAGGCCGTAAACTTTCTCTCAGGAAATTAATTTAAATTATCATGACAAAATGCTATTGTTACGAGATACGTTTTCCCACAGAATGCTGTTTCTGCATTTAATATCATGTGCTCTCTTTCTCAATTCTTATTTTCCATATATTTAATTTCTCATTATCGTAAATGCATTGAATATGATTATTGCCACTGCATATCTTTTATATGTGTGGTTTATTGTAGACATGCATACGTGCATACAAAAAATATGAAACAAGATAGTACTTACAGAATAATAGAAAAAAGAAAAATCCTCTCGAGATCTATCTACCAATATATCTATCAGTATTTTCAGTAAAGAGATTAATGAAAGTTTTCCTCGCTGCAGATGCACCGCGCTGTGATCCTGTTCATGGGCTGCCTGGTCGCCGCCTCGCTACTCTTGCCGGCGGCGGAGGCGAGGCCGCAGGTTCACTCGTACGACGTCGCCAGAGTCAATGCTGAAGTTTTCGAGGAACAGGACGAGGTGGAGGAGTTCGAACGCGGAGGAAATTACGTCGAGTGAGTGCTTCCTTTGCGCTTGCGTGCCAGGACGCGACCCTTTGGCTGTCGGTCATTTCGACATATGTTAAGTTCTCTCTTTCTCTCTCTCTCTCTCTCTCTCTCTCTCTCTCTCTCTCTCTCTCTCTCTCTCTCTATATATATATATATATATATATATATATATATACACATATATGTATATATACATATATTTGTATAAATATACATATATATGTATATATATTCTTACATTTATATGTATATATATACATATACATATTGTATCTGTATCTGCATCTACACATGTCTTTCTATCTATCTATCTATCTATTTATAAACACACAACCAAACAAACACAAACACTCCATATGTGCGTGTGTGTGATGCTTGACGTTCTCACTGCTCCCAAAGCATGTTTTTGTTCGCAAGTGAAACAACTACAAACTACTACGGGTCTTTTGTCTTCAGTATGGGCCTTCGACTTCTTATAAGCGTCCGCACTCAAGGCTGCGACCTTTTTCTGGTGACAATGCCTGGTTCTGCTTTGTCATTTGCATTGGAATTGGCCTTATCAAAGACGTTAATTGCCATGGCTGAAGAGGTGTCGATATGCCTACTTTTTATAACAATGTACAAGTCGAAATTGTGTGAAAATTTGTACACGCATACACGCAGAAACATGCACACAAAAAATAACAACAAAAACACACACATACACATAGATACGCACACACACACACTCGCGTGCGTGCACACACACACATATATAAACACACACACACACACACACACATACATATATATATATATATATATATATATATATATATATATATATATATAAACACACATACACACGCGCGCACGCACGCACACACAAAAAACAACAAAAAAGCACATACACACGCACAAGCTCACACACACACACACACACACACACACACACACACACACACACACACACACACACACGAGTATGTCTTTCAGTGAAGTTTCCATTTTCACACATGCTGCATACATCATACCAACAATGATATTCCTAGAAACGAAGTAATGCAGTTCCATCATCCCCCCCCCACCATTCTCACAAGCTGCTATTCCCTCAGGATCCAGGAGAGCGTGGCGGAGGACGGCGCGTCTCCCACGGGCGCCGCCGGGAGCATCGCCCTCGAAGTCCTCGACGAAGTGGGAGACGCCCTCGGCTCCAGGGGGGGTGCCCTGCGCAGGATGGAGGCGCTGCTCGAGGCCTCCAGGGGCGTCTACGGCAGATGAGGCTTTTTCCCGGGCTGGCTTGGGGAAGGGCGGAGGGAGGAAGGTGTGCGTGCTGTGTTATAAGTTTTATTTAACTGGAACTTCTGTTTGTGATGAAACGATACACATACACTCACACAGGAACACACACACACACACACACACACACGCACGCGCGCGCGAACACGTGGACACACATTTTAACAGTAAACAAAAACATTGAAGATGCTTTAAGTTCTTGATGTGCTCGACCTGCGATTTTCTACTGTAAACAATAGTGTTATTTTTCATAAATAAAGTGGACAAAAATAAGATATTTATTATTTGAGATTTATTTCTTCTTATGCTGTAGTTTTCTTATGGCCGGATGCCCTTCCTGACGCCAACCCTCTCTATTTACCCGGACGTGGGACCGGTACTGACTTAGGCTGGATTGTCCACCCTAGGCTAGGTTTTTATTCGCAATTTGCAATTCCAGAAGATTGAAATGCTGTTTAGAATAAAAAAGATAACGGTATCAGTGTTTGCTGATCTGTTTTGTGAATCAAAAAAAATAGACTCTGTAAAACTGTAAAACTGAAATTCTACTTAAAAAATCGTTTATAATTCATCTTTATCTTATCTGCATGAAAAATGCCATTATAGTAAAAGAATGAAAAGGAAATATAGTTATCTAGCCAAATATCGTAAATTAGTAAATAAGATTATATTATGATCTCTTGTAAAGATAACCATCAATTTAAAAATAGTGGGGCCATACAAGCCGTTATCTTATAAACAACAAAAAAATATAATGGTATTAATTGCTTAGATCGGTAACAATGCGGCAGCAATATAAAATAATATCAATATCCCTAAATGGTCAATAGAGGATAAAATCAAATAAAATTAAAACGTGTATTGGGAGTGATTTGAAAAATACTGAATACTGAATACTTCCAACAAATATTACAATAATGTATTAATGAGCTGTTGTATTTCGACCAAATCTATTTACACAAAATCTATTTGGGTTCCGATTTTTTTTTTTTTTTTTTTTTTTTTGTTTACGAAATAACTTTTTTTTTTTCTTTTTGACACCAGAATGCTTCATGAGAAACTGAAATCGTTTTATAAAATATTTCTCCTTTTGTATGCAGCGCTGGATAAAGCTGCTGCATTTTCTTTGTGCAATAGTGTAGTCTAGTTCCTGCATTTATTTTTTATTTGTGTATTAATTTGCTTATTAATTGTGCTTATTATTATTGCTATTATTATTATTATTGTTATTATTATTATTATTATTATCATTATTATTATTATTATTATTATTATTATTATTGTTATTATTATTATTATTATTATTATTATTACTATTGTTGTTGTTGTAATCATTAGTATTACTATCGTTATTATCATTATTATTAATATTAATATTATTAATATTATTATCAATATTGTTGTTGTTGATTTATAATCATCACTGTTATTATTATTATTACTATTATTATTTATTTTGATATTCATTATTATTGTTATTATTATTATTATTATTATTATTATCATCATTATTATCATTATTATTATTATCATCATTATTATTATCATTATCACCATTATTATTATCATCACTACTATATTCTATTTTACGAATGTAGGCTACATTTTATCTCTTGCCCCCCCATAAAAAACCGAGTCAGTTTTCATTCTTTCTCTCTTACATCAGAAACAGCAATAATGATATTCAATCAGATTGCTCATCATGCAAATTCACAACCATCGCACGCGCATGAATATCGATGTTTACGCGCGGGATGACCTTGTGACGACGTTCACATGGTGGCCACAACACGCAAAAAAAACTGGTTCCCTCGACCGTCCGGAAAACACATCCGTTGGCCGGCCGTTGCTCTCCTGCAGGAGGGGGGGTTGGGGGGATGGGGGGGTTAATGATGAATCCTTTTGTTTCCTCGTCGGGAGTATGGGAATTTCCCCCCGCAGGATTCTGGTAAAAGGATGAGTTAAAATGAGCGAGCGTGGCAAGGCGGGAGAAAGCGAAGGTTAGAGGGTAGGGGTGGGGGTGGGGGTGGAAGGAGGGAGGATGGGGGATGATGATGGGGGTAAGGGAGGGGGTGGGGGGATGGTTGGGGTTAGGGAGGGAGGGCGAAGGGGGATGGTGGGGATAGGGAGATAAAGAGATGAGGGAAAAAGAAGAGAGAGTGAGAGATAGTAGGAGATCGGATTAGTAAGGAAATTAAGAAACGGGTGTTAGGGATATTAGGAATAAAGAGATAACAAGCAGTGGAGGATAGAGGGGCCAAGACCGGGAGGAGGGGATAGATATGGGTGGCAGGAAGCTGGGGAAGGAGGGTCGGACATGAGTGGTTCTTCGCCAATGACGTAGATCGGACGAGGGTGCAAACCGGGGGCGTGGCGGGGCGCTCACGGGAGCGTAGGTGTAGCCCGCTCACATCAGCACACGCAGGCTACCTGATCGCGTTTTTTCGCCGCTGAAAAAGTGGAAGCGCGCAAGGCCAGTCGAAGGAAGCCGCGGCTGCCGTCACGATGCGGGAACGCCGCTCGAGGACCGCGCCCGTCGCCGCTAAGACACCGCTAAGACACAGCCAAGACACCGCCAAGACACCGCTCAGACACCGCTAAGACTCTGCTCAGACACTGCTTGCGGAACTTTGTTCGAGTCATGGTGCTGGCTGCGAAATGAGGCATCAGTGCCATTACTTGTTGTTTTGCTTTGCCGTTGCTACTGATACTGTCACTGTTTCTGACGAAGATGTAATCGATACCGGTCAAATGCCTCTCTTGTACCGTGAAGATTTTCATTCTCATTCACACCTTTAAAAAAAAAAAAAATTCACTGTCACTATTCCTACTATTACTAGTAGTCACTGTTCCTACCATTACTATTAATGTCGTTATTCCTGCTATTATTGCGCTAATATTACTCCTGTTATATCTATTATTAGTAACAGGACGACAGATACAGTTACTTTTATCACACGACCACTACTGGAATGAATGCTTCTACAATTACTACTGATGGCACTGCTAGCAAAAACAAACATAAATATACATTTAGCTTAACTTAGAGTTAATTGCGATGATGATCATGATATTATTATTAATGTTATTATTATTTTTTTATTATTATTATTATCATTATCATTATTATTATTATTATTATTATTATTATTATTATTATCATTATCATTATTATTATTATCATTATTATTATTATTATTATTATTATTATTATTAATACTATTGTTATTATTATTATTATTATTATTATTATCATTATTATTATTATCATTATTATTATTATTATTATTATTATTATTATTGTTATTATTATCATTATTATTATTATTATCATTATTATTATTGCTGGACGTGTTTCGTAAAAAGAAAAAAAGAAAGGAAAAAACAGAAAACTATATCGACTTTCGATAATTTGCAGGTCAAAGTTATCCCTTAGAGTGGCAAACGAAGCAAGGTGATGATAGATCGATAGATAGATAAATAAATGAGTAGATAAATGAACAGATAGACAAACAAAGAAACCGACAGACATACACGAATAAATGCAGACACAAACAAACAAATACTCGAACAACATTTATTTGATAGATTTAGCCATAAATGATAGTCTGATGTTGATATAGATAATGATTATATTATTATTCTGGCCTTTTCATTATCATCGTTATTGTTGCTACTCTTCATTATCAATGTTATTACTACCCTTATTGTCATTGTTATTCTTTTACTATCTCTCTAATCATTATTACTAATATTATCACATTTATTATCATAAATATCATTGTTAATATCATTATCATCATCATAATTATTATCATTATTATTGTTGCTGTTGTTGTTGTTGTTGTTGTTATTATTATTATTATTATTATTATTATTATTATTATTATTATTATTATTATTATTATTATTATTATTATTATTATTATTATTGTTGTTGTTGTTGCTGTTGTTGTTGTTGTTGTTATTATTATTATTATTATTATCATTATTATCATTATCATTATCATCATTATTATTATTATTATTATTATTATCATTATTATTATTATTATTATTATTATTAATGCTATTATCATTATCATTATTATTATTTATCATTATTATTGTTATTATCACTCTTATCATTACCATTATTATTGCATTTGTTATCGTATACTTCTGCTTTAAGCACTGGCAGTTCTAATAGCCGAATTTTCCATCCCAAGGGAGCGGGTTAAAGCCCTTGCCCAAGGGTCCCTTGGAGTCATTGTCCTTTAGTACTCAAGTACTTTTCTCAATATCCTGGCTGTTCCTAATAATGTCGTCTTCTGTAAGAGTGCTGTATTTACTGTGATATCCAGTTTTTCTAACCAATCATCCAGTTTCTTCGTTACACTGCCGAGTGCTCCAACAATCACAGGTACAACTATCACACTTCTCATGTTCCAAATCCTCTTGATTTCCCTTTTCAAATCTTGATATTTCTCCACTTTCTCTTTTTCTTTGTCACTAGTCCTGCTATCACCTAGCACCGCAATGTCAATGATGCTGCATTTTCTTTCACCTTTGCTTACAACAACTATGTCTGGTCTTCTTGCTTCAATTAAATGATCACACTGAATATTCACGTCCCATAGTAGCTTTACCTCGTCATTTTCAACTACACCCTCGGGGGCATGTTCATACCATTTTTCCGTCCTTTCTAGATTGTATTTCTTGCATAAATGCCAATGCACAATCCTCGCAACGTTGTCGTGCCGTCGTTTGTATTCTTTCTGTGCCATCTTCTTGCACTCACTGACAATGTGATGTACAGTTTCGCCCTTCTCTTCACACATCCTACAAAGTGGTGACTCTGCTGATTTGTCAATATGGTGTTTAACATAGTTTGTTCGGAGAGCCTGTTCTTGCGCTGCACACAAAAGTGACTCTGTTTGTATTTTAAGATCAACTTTTCTCAGCCATTCCCAATGTCTTCTTTTCATCCGTTGATTCCGGCATCTCTCTAACAAACTGCCCGTACATTCTTTTTTTCCCTCCATCTTTGTTCTTTTTCATTCATCCATCTCCTTTTGAACTCATCCTTACTAACATCTTCAGTGTCCACCACTTTAGCAAGCCTAACACCTCGAATCAATGATTCAACGGAATTCCGGACATACCATCCCAAATTATTCTCCTCACTTCGAACGCAACCCTCGCAGCTAATCAGTCCACGCCCTCCTTTCTCTCTAGTCAAATATAACCTGTCTGCATCACTCTTAGGGTGAACTGCACCGTGCATTGTCATAATCTTCCTCGATTTCCTATCCATGTTTTTTAACTCGTCTACTGTCCATTTCAAGATACCTGCCCCATACCTCAAGACTGATACAGCCCATGTGTTAATTGCTAAGATCTTATTCTTACCATTCAATTTTGATTTCAAAACCAACTTTAACCTTCTTTTGTATTCGCTTGTAAACTTTTCTTTCATGTCTGTTTCTTTGATCTTATCCATTTCTACAATACCCAGGTATTTGTATCCACTTTCGTCGATTTCTTTCATCATTTGCCCATTCGGAAATGCAACACCATTTTGCTTCACAATTTTCCCTCTCTTCAATACCAACACACTACACTTGTTTAATCCAGATTGCATCCCAATGTCCTCGCTGAAGAGATGCACAGTTTGTACTAGTGAATCTATTTGGTCCTGATTCTTGGCAAATAACTTGAGATCGTCCATGAATAATAGATGATTAATTCTGAATTCCTTGTTACCCCATTCATAAGAAGCTGCTACTTTCCTCAAGATCAACGTCAGTGGAATCATGCATAACACGAACAGTAGTGGAGATAGGCTGTCCCCCTGGAAAATTCCTCTGTGAATATGCACATCTCCCAAGCTTTCACCAGAAGATGTCAGTTCCAGCTTCCATGATCGCATACTATCACTCATGAATTTTCTAACATTCTCTGCTATCCCAAACAACTCCAGGCACTCAATAATCCAGCTATGGGGCACCATGTCGTACGCCTTTTTGTAATCAATCCAGGCCATAGCTAGATTAGTCTTTCTCCTTTTACAATCTTTTAGCACTGTTTTGTCGATCAACAGTTGATCCTTTGTTCCACGACTCCCCTTCCGACATCCCTTCTGCTCATCTGGTAATATTTTCTCCCTTTCCAAGAAGCCATGCATCTCTTCTGCAATCATGCCCGTTAGTAACTTCCACATTAAGGGTAGGCAGGATATGGGTCTAAAATTATCAACTGCTCTGCCCTTAGCCGGATCCTTCTGGCATAGAACAGTTCTCCCATATACCATCCACTCAGGCAACCTGTTTGCACCACTTATAATTTCATTCAGCTGATTTGCAATTCTCTCGTGCAATGACGACAGTTGCTTGATCCAATAACCTTGGACACCGTCTCTTCCTGGGGCCTTCCAATTAGGGATCTTTCTACTCTGTGTTTTAACCATCTCTACTGTGATCTCCATATCTCCCATATTTACGTTACTTTGTTCTCTTTTCAGATCCTGCAACCATTCTGCTTGTCTATTATGTTCTTTTTCTATGCTCCAGATCTCACTCCAAAACTTCTTACTCTCTTCAGCATCCGGTATTACACTCTCGCCACTAGCTCCTCCATTCAGTTCCTTATACACTTTTTTCTGCTCCGTTGCAAACATTCGATTCTGTCTGTATTGTGTTAGTCTATCTCCATACCTCTTTATCTTTGCAACTTTTGCTAATAACCTTTGCTTCAGTTCTTCTATTACAGTTGTGAGACCTTTCCTTTTAATTCCTTACTTATCCCCTAAATTCTTGACCTTCCTTTTCCCTCTCATACCAGTCTCACCTCTTTTTTCTCTTTCAAGTATGCTGATATCTTTCTTCAAATTCTTTATGTCTCCTTCTATACGTCGCTTCCACCATGGGTCCTGTTTCTTCTCCTTCTTGACTGTCTTCATTCCTAGCTGTTTGGCAACCCAAAGACTAGCTGCTTTAATGAGGTTATTAGTCTGGGTGATATCTGCTGTCACAAGGTGTTTAATGGCTCCATTCACTTTAAGTGTTTCTTCACTTAGTCTCTTCTGATCAACTTTCTTAAACATGATGTTATCATTTGTTACTCCTTGTGCCATCAATCCTTTTACTTCATCAATGATCAATTGCTCCTCAGGTGTTATTTCTGCTGCCTCACTAACTTCAATTGTAATGTCAGCCTCATTGACCTCCTCAATATTCGATCTTGATAATATATCTTCCTCGTCTTGCTGATGTTCTTCTTCACTCTGTTTTACCAATCTTCTCCTTATGGCCTCTAATTCCACCTCCGACAACCAACCATTTTTTCTGATAGCTCTGGCCTGGTC